GCGATTTTTTCTAATCGAACGTTTGTTTTGAAATTTTCTGATCGCGTAACGTTACACTAAATCGTGGTTCATTATTGCAGTATTGGCTTGATTTTGTTGATCATCACGTGACAGTAAAAAATACATAGTAATTTTTCTGGCGATCCTGGGGTAGTTCCGCTTTAGACTAGGGATTGGAACCGCCTAAAATTTTTCTTAATCGTTTAATCATTTAACCGTTTAACCGTTTAATTTGGCCGGCATTAAAACAATTCCAGCACACGACCAACATAATTCCGCCCGGGACTATGGAGCAACTTTTAAACGGTTAAACGGTTCCTTTTTTTTGGTTTAAGTTTCACGAATATCACATTCAAATTAATTGGCTGATTTTGTCGATCAACAGGAAAATCCAAAAAAGGAAATTTGAAAAACGGTTCGGTAATATTGGGTCCAGATTCTGTGCCATTATGCGAAACACAGAATGCTTTCGTTTATTAATGTAACTCGGCCTTTCTCAGGATTTCATCTTTTTAAGTTACAGAGGCATCAACTTTCACGTCTTTCAGAGTTTTCACCTTTAATCGGGGATTACGCTTTTAATCAGAGATTACGTCTTTCACCGGGTGTTTTGTCTTTTGCCAGAGATTTTGTTTCTAGCCGGGGTTCCGCTGTTTCTCCAGGTAGTTTTGTTAGTCTTACACCGAATTTAGATTTTTGTCTCTTGCCGTTTATATAGATGGTTTCTCCTAAAAACTATAGTAACATGGTCAACGAGTCAAAGAAGCCGAAAAGATGCCATGGTTGGGCCTCGTTTTGAACAAACTGATCTCGAAGTTCAGGTATGAATTACAGACAAGGTCTTTTATTTTTGAAATATTTCTTGTTTAATAACAGTATCCTATTCGACAGCCGAATTCGGTAGCTGCCATTGATTTGATCGCCGAAGAACCAATTCATTATGTAGAAGGTAGAATTGCCATTTGTGATGGAGGTATTTAGACTTACAACTGTACAAAATGGGATGTTTTGTTTTATAATGAAATGTAATGTCAACGATAATACTAGGTGGAGGTCCGCTAGGTCATCCGCAAATTTATATAAATTTGGTAAAGCACCTTTGTTATATCTTGATCTGTTGTTTTGATTTATTTTCTTATTCCTTTTTTTTTTTTTTTTTTTTTTTTGTACTTCACCAGGATCAGCCAGGCTCTCACGCTTGTGGATATTGTGCGTTTTAATTTACTTCTAGTACAGCCAGACCTTGATATAATCATCAGGTCAAAAAACAAAATTCTGATGATTATAAAAAGTTGTGACTATATGCAGGTCAAAAATTGTATGTTTTAGAATAGCTACATCGGGAATTTTTAAAACCTGATTAGAATCGAAGGATTTCGATCACTACCACCGATTATAGCGGTTTGCAAAAAGTTGTGACCCCACGATTTCGTGATGCGATAGTAGGGAATCTCAGAGATTCTAGATTTTCTATCAACCATACATTCGATTAGTGATATCTATATATATTTGGAAATATGTATTATTCCTTTAAAATCGAAAAATCATGCAATTTTACATTACACGACGATCTGCGGAAGTCACCTTTTTTGCTAGCCGCAATATTGATTGAAAAATATGATCAATAGGGAATTTAAAATCTGGGAAATTTTTCTGCCGTCATCATTACAAAATCACAGGGCCACACCTTTTTGCACCATAATCGGTTTTGTATATGTTGATTATAATCGATTGTTATCAATTTGATTTATATCGATTACTATCTCCACCATCGATAATAATCGATTGACTGTTGGCAATCGACTATAATAGAGATTCAAAATTTCTCGATGTAAGACTAAAAAATAGTGTGGCTATATCAAGAGCGCTATAACGAGGTCTGACTGTATTTTGATTTATAATTATATATCTAACGTTAAGAATACCCTTTTGCAATTTGAATAGGTGGTATTAGGTTTGAACAAAAACCGCATCACCGTCATTGACATTTAATATATATCCTATCATTGATGATGCAAAACCATTCAGTTATGGTGACTTGACAACCGCACCATTATGTAATTGATTAATCATACAAAATAGCTTTTCTTTAAAATTAAAACCAAGATACGTTGCAACAAGTTAACATCATAAAAAAGCTATGTTTTACATTTTATCGAATCCCAATTCAAATCAGCTTGGGGTACTAAGTTCCAATATAGTATTCCAGTTTGTCTCCGGCTTAGTTGACTGGTTTGAATATTCTATTTCATATTTTTTATAACTCACTCCGGTCTAGCTGACTGGTTTGAATATTCTATTTCATATATTTTATAACTCACTCCGGCCTAGTTTGGATTTAACTGAAGTGCTCTGAAGTATGATAACACCATCGACAACCCTAAATATTTTTCAAGTAGAACGTAATATACGAATATCACATTTTGTCTTGAGTTTAGATTATTAATTATTAATTTATCAGAATTATAAAAAATCTAACTGAAAAAAAAAACGGAAAGGTGAACATTGTATTAATACTATATATTTTTACAGTGGACAATTCATTTTTTCTGACATATTAACGACAAATCTGTATCATCATTTAAATATATTTGTAGATTTTGCCAAATTGTTGGTTGAAAATCAACTACACGTTACTCTGAATATATCGACAATTTTTTTTCATTAGTAAAAAAATTCAAAATGTCGATATGGTGAGTTATACCGACATTTTATGTTAAATTTTGAAAAAAAATGGCGATATAGAAAGATTTTACTATGATGTCGTTATATCCAGATGTCGGTATAACCAGAGTAACGTGTAATTGTCAATTTTTCAACTAATTGATTTAAACGGCAATCAATTTATTGTCAACTGTAGGGTGGGGGCACGGAAAAATTTTTGGGCATCCCTGGGCATGCCTCTGGTTTTTTTGATTTAAAGGCATGAGGCATGCCTAGGGATGGCCAATTATACGATACCGTATAATAAAAATGGTATAATAGTCAATCAACATTTCACGGGTAAATTTTTTTAATATGGGTCAAATGATTGACGCACCCAAATTTTATAATTCAAATTCGGCAAATTTTGCTTTTTAGGCTTATTTAACAATAAAGTTGTCAGTTTAATTTTTGGCAAATTCTTTAGCACAAAATATCGATTTTGATAGATCTATGATTACTTTTTTGACAGATCTACAGCATTACAGCAGAGACAATCCGAATATGGAAATGATTTTCGTGTTAAACTATCATTGTTTGGACCAATCAAAATAGCATAACCCGATTGTTCAACCAATCAAATTACTGATTTACAAAATTTTGGGATTCAAAGGGATTCAAGAAATATGTTGTAAAGCAAAGTGTGAGCTTCTATTTTCTTAAAAAATTTTTTACATTTCTTAGAAAGAATAAGGCACATGAGCCTTTCAAAAAAGTATTGTAAAATAACATAAAAAAATCGATATCAATTGTGTAACAGCTCTGTGTAACAACCCACAGTCTCTGCTGTACTACAGCATACCTTAAATCTGGATTACGTTATTGATGCATTTTATATATGCAAAATCGATTTTTCAAGACTTTAAACAAAATGCCAATAGCTATTTAACAAAATCTGATGAATTTTTTTTATTTTTATTTTTATTTTTTGTATTAACTAGTCTTTTGGGCTTAGGTTTTTATTCAAGTATTGCTAAGTGAGGGGTCCATGGTTACTTTATATTAGAGTATATACACTTTTGGTGTTTATTTTTAGTCTGTTTACAACTTACATTATAAGTTTTATATTAGATGTTATACTTGTAATTTGAACTATAGGTATTATTTGTTTAAACTTTTTGTAATGCAACTCTATTTGTATTACTGGTATATTTTTATTACAAGAAGTCTTGGATGTTGACTATTACTTTTAGAACTAATTTATTTTTGAGGCATTGTTGTTAGAGCTTTTTATATCTATAATCTGGCTAATCTAAACTTCAGTAATTTATGTTAAATTTGAGGACAAGTATTTACAAATCAAAGCCATTACTATTATCTATATTTATTTTTATAGAGTTTATCCAAATCTTAGTATCCACTTTATAGACTATTAACAATACTTTAATATTAACTAATAGTACCTCAAACTTTCAATTCAGATGGTTTAAAAGTGATCAGTAGACATCTCTTAATATTTCAAATGAATTTTTTTTTCTTTAGTTTTCATCTAATAGCCTGGTTGGTATAGTGTTTTGTTAAATACTTGGTCTTTATTTAGTTTACTACTAGTATTTGGTTTTTCAGATAATAATCTTTTATAAAATATCATCAAAAATTTGTATTACTTTTCTACTCAAACCTTTCTAAGTAGACTTTTATATTTTTTGATTTTTGATTTCTTAAATTTATTTGGCTGCTTCATTTAGATTTTGTGTAATTCATATATCATACTATTGTTTTACAACCTTTCAATACAAACTAATATGACCAAAGTTACAGATATTGATTTGATTAATATATTATATAGTCTGTTATAACATATTTTATAAATTTGAATTTTGTTACTAGTAGAATTCGAACTCTTGTTTTACTGCTTAAAGGCATATCAGCAGATTGGTGTAATTGAGCCATCCAAACATACCCCAAAAAATTGGTGTTACCATATAAACTGTTGATATGATTCGTTAACCAATTACAAACACCCCTCAAAATATAATTTCAAATATCACTAAAACACAATTAACATAATAGATTATATATAAAACCAATCTTCCAACTCAAAAGCCAATCTTTCATATACAATGTAAAAAGACAAAATTACAGTTATTGTTTTAATTAATGTTCTGCTATAAGGTTTTATAACTTTTTTATTTAAAATCTTATTTTATTTCAAATAGATCTATACTACTTATTTCTCTGTCATGGTTAATTTTACTTGCACTCTCTGCTCACATAAAACTTTCAAGAATAAACGTGGACTTCAATATCATAAGATGCGTATACATTTTCCAAAAAATGTGATATCAGTCTCTGCAGAAACAAACACTTGTGTTTTTTGTATGCTATGTCCTCACAAGTCCTTTAAGAATAAACAAGGGCTTATTTGTCATGAACATGTAGTGCATAGTTCTTACAATATTCTCCGAGCTGATGTTGTAACATTACCTCAAGAGGCTATCAATAAGTTTAAACAAACCTTAGTGTATATGATCCAATGGCAATTATCAAATAATAGTAGTTCTGCTGGGTCATAATGTATTACCATACCTTGTATGGAAAGTCAGTTTATTAGGGTTTTTGGCAGGCATATAACACGGCATGCTTTTACTCGGCAAACTTATGAATGTGTTTTTACTGGAAAGGATGCATATGATACATTATGTCATATCTTAGATGATAGAAATTGGGGAGTCAGACATTATATTCAAAGGAAACAAACTGCTGTAATTTTAGTTACACCAATTAGTTATGATTCTGAAATGAACAGTTCAACTGAAGATTAAGACAAATTTGATGGTCGACAACAAAAACAGAAGAAACAGCGCAAGAACGCATTTAATCTATCAATCTGGTGGGAGAGAAGAGAAATAAAGGATACAAATGAGCATGTATGTTGAGCAGGGTTTCTTATAATGCGATTTGCAACAGATACTGGATATTTTTAATGTAAATTGCTAAAGCATCTGTCCCTTACAATTAGTATAATTTTCTAATTCATAATGATAAGTGATCACTGTTTAGTAAATCAGCAATAAAAATATCCCAAATTGCAAAGTTTTGATTTTAATACATTTACACATGACCTTAATATATACATATCAGATATGTAGCGACAATTTAAACTTTTTTTATGGGTTCCTTATACTACAATCTTCACTCTATAAAGTGAAAGGGTAAATTTAATTTATTCATTATATTACTTATTATCTTAAAATAATTCATTCATAATAACTTATTCATCGAGACTTGACATAGCAATAATATTCTACAGGATAATTTATGTAGTATCTTGGGAC